CTTCCTGACTTACAGCCTATTTGCTTTGGTGATTGAGTATACAAGGAAGAAAGTCAGGGACATTCTCGGAGAGTAGCAATGAAAATCTATGATTATTCTAAACCTCCACCCTTACCTCACAGTACAAAAGGTGGACTGCTACTACCTTTCCAAACATCTCCTTTGGGTGGAAGAGTGCAGGGTGACTACTTAGTCTTGGTTTATGTTTCACATTCTTGATCTAGCACCTCCCTCCCCCTTTTTTTAAAAGTAGGCTCCATGCAGGGCTTGAACTCACCACCCTGAGATCAAGGCCCTGAGCTGAGATTAAGAGACGGATGCTTGACCGACTGGGCCACCCAGGCGCCCCCAAAGGTCTGTCTTTCTACTCACTATTGCCTGTTGGCCTTTTCAGGCATCTGTTGTCTGATTGGGTTGCAGAAACTTATGGCACTTTGAGGATGGCTCCCTGGAATTAGTTTCCATATACCTTGTATCCTGGAAATAGCCAGGATGTAGGCCTTACCCTGATTTGAGGATCAGTTCAGAGACTGTAGCCCTTGGAAACTGAGGAGGGTAAGCAATAGCACACATAAGGTGCATATTTCAAGTTCTTCCCACAGTAACTACCTGAGAGTTTATGAGTGTGCTCATGCTCTGATTAGGGATGTCTCAAAAAGTCATCTGCAGTCTAAATAAAGTAAGATAAAATTATACATTTAAAAGTTCCATGTGGAGACTTTAAAAACAAGAGTTTTTCATTCCTTCTCTCATCCCACAGCAGTTTATTGAGCACTTGCTTGGTGTCAAGCATCGTGCTGGGCACTGGAAATGCAGTGATGAACAAAACAGACCCAGTCCCTGCCCTCACAGTCTAGCAGGAATTGCAAGAGTCAGTTTGTCACTGTTGGCTCAGCTCTGTCCTAAGTATCTGAGACTTGGGGTTTGACAAACAGGTCCTCCGATCTCTGGGATGGTGACCTCTGATATTAGGCTGGGGGCAATCCTTCAGCTTCCCATAGACTGGCTGAAATAGCTTACAAGACCACCCGACCCCTTTGGTCCCCACTCACGAAAGCCATCTGTTATTAATGTAGGCCCAGAGCCATCTCCATAATAGGAAAGACAGCCAAGGATAAGGGATGGGGGAGTATTCTCAAACCAGAAGGTTGCTCTTCACACTGAATGAATACACACGTCCTGTCCTCGCCCACCGGCCTCTTTTAGTGTGGTTCATATCCACTGCTGCGACAAGACCGACTCAGGGTAAATGAGTCAAGTCTATGTTTTAACCTGCAAAGCAGAGGCTGACCAAGAGCTTCAGCTTGGAAAAGAGAGATGCTGTCAGTCAGCATCCATCTACTGATCACAACAGCAATCCTCCCCTCTGGTCCACTCAAGAGCATCATGCTGTCCAGTGTTTAACACACTTTCACATACACCCCCTATTTTAAGTTTGCAGCAACCCAGTGGGGATATCCCAACCTCCATGGCTAAGGAAACCAAGCCCCAAAATTAACTTGCTCAGTTTCTCACAGCTGCTAACACAAAGAATTCAAATCCAGATCCTCAGCCTCCAAAGCAAGTCTCCAAACTACCCCATAGGTGGCTACTTTACAATTCCAGTTCTTCTTTTTTGCATATTGCCTTGCTCATCCTGGTGGGGTATGGTCTTATGACATGCTAGTTTTCTGGGAGAAGCCATGGGTTACTGGCCAGGGGAGGGCCTGCAGTTCCCTGATCCTCTGCCCTTGGCCAAGAAGATTATTGTGGCTCTCAGATCTCTTCTTGCCACCTGAATGGGAATCCCTATCTGCCATGGATGCCTGTGGACCTATTTTTAGAAATAGAGGGGAGCCTGTGGGTGGCACACATTGAGGTTTTCTAGGAGTTAATATTTTTGTAGAGGCCACTCAGAGTTTAAAGTTGACTGATTTCAAGATAAATTACCTCCTGGGGAAAACACCCTTTCCCTGTTCTTCCCTTCAGCATTCCCCATCCCAAAATGAGTTTGCTTTTTGTGTTTTTCTTTTACCCCTTAGGGCTTCTCCTTAGCACCCTGTGCTCAGAAGACAGGGATATTAATAACCAGCAGCAGATACAGCTGATTTCTCTCTCAAGAGGGCCGAGAGGAAGCAGATCCAGTTCTCCTTGACCTCTGTAGGGACTGGTAGTGTCCCTTAAGATCTTTATGCAGAGGGGACTGCTGTTTTAAAGTTCTGGAAAAATGTCTGTGGATGGATCTCAATGCCTTTTTAATGCTCCTGAATTAATGATTTTATTCTAGAATAGGCACACTACTATTTTAGGGGTGGGGTGTGTATACACACAAGTTAGAACAGGGGAAATTTTTAATCATATTAAAACAGGGAGGAAATTAAAATGTACATATGGAAAATCTCTGTATTTGGGGAACACAATTCTGCTGTTGATGTTTAAAAACACATCATCTCTGTTCAACAATGTTTCTTTGCCTTACTAGGTTGATGGTGATAAAATTAAAATGCAAACACTGAAAATAAATATGCTTTTGAACTTAGTATTGTATTAAAAATGTCACTTCTAATACAGTAAAGTGACTCAATTAGTTGACTATGTCACAACTAAAAACAAATATATTAAACAAAGGCAATAATGTGTATATACCAAAACACCTTTTGTTTCAAAACCAGTGATAACATTCATTTCCATGTAAGTAGTTTTCTAGTGTAAGATATTTACACATGGTATAAAGACACCAGACATCATTAGCCATGCATTTTCTAATACCTTCTTAACAATAAAATACACAAAAAACTCAATACATTCTGGTCCATGCTCTGATATGTCTCTCTGTATCTTTTTCTCTCCCCTCAACCTTTTTTTTTTTTTACACTAATTCTCCAATCAAGCTCTCAAATAGGAAATAGGAATCACTGCCTCTTTAAACTAGATCAGAATAAGACAGACAGAACCAGTGTGCACTTGGATGGGCTCTGCCGTGGTCTGCCATAGTCACATGTAGCCTGGAGCAGTTCTCTCCAGTCTGAGTAGCCTTTTTAAAAATAGAATCTTTTCTCCACCGAGGGTATACAACCAACCATGACCAAGATGAAATCCAGAGAAAGGAGCTGCCATTTTTCACCTTTATTTCAATAGGACACATTAACCTTGTCTGGAAGCCAATTATTTTTATAGAAGCAACACTCTCAGATCAGGGTCCCCTGCACCCTCTATAACTGCATGTGAATTCAGGGAGCAGTAGCTGCTGAAGTGCAAGGCGAGACCTAGTAAACATGGAAAACCATCCAAGAGCCTCTTCCCTCTCCATCCTCACCCTGGTGTCGTCAACAGCAGAGCAGGATTCCCCGACCTCATAAACCTAGATATTCATTCTCCTACTGCTCTCTTCACCTCCTACAGGTGCCTGGTCCTTGAGTCTGCAGTGGTAGAAGACCTAGCATTTTGGTAACAATTTTAGGAAGAAGCAGAAGAAAGATGGGACTCAGGGCTGAGGTTTCCTTCTGCTAAACAAGCAAGCTCTTGCTCTTAATTACTAAGCCCCAAACCCATGGAAAGAAGACAAACCAGGACTGTCTTCCCACCACATAAATACAAAGATTAATAGACATTTTTTCGTTTTCTGATGATTTTATGTGACAGTTTTAAGTAATGCCCAAATATTCATATAATAAAGGCACATATTTTTTCTCTCAGTTGGATCCTCTGTGTATGGAACTGGTAATCCAATATAAAAAGGCCCATTTTGTTTTAATTGTGCTGCAGTTTTCAAACCTCTCATGAAGACACATGTGCAGTTTTGGGAATATCCAGGTCCTTGCAAATCTACATTTTCTTCATCAAGGACTGAAGAAAATCACTAGAAGCTGTTGGCCCTCTCACCCCCTGGGACCCTCACCCCACATTGCTCAGCATGTAGCCAATCTCACAGGGTCAGGGCCCTAAGTATCCCATCCAAGCTCAGAGGATTTGGGTACAAAGGGCCTTCACTGGAAACGTGGAGTCAGCCACTTGGTTCTTTCTACCACTATCCACATGAGGAGGGTAGAAAAATGGCAAGGAGACATGTGAAAGGAAGCAGAGTCCTTGGTTTAAGACTCCAGCCCACAGGCTCTCGCACACATACCTGATGTAGTCACCAGGATGCAGTAACTGGCTCAGCAAGGAAATGTCATGCACCTCAGGAGTCACTGAAAGCCAAGCTTTACCCCGACACCTGTGTGAAGGAGGAGATGCAAGTGCAGTTTTAGAGATTCACAGTCTTGGAAATTTTCACCTGAGGTTGCTCCAGGTGGAAGATGAAAATGCATAAGTTGCCAAGATGACTTTGTGACACTGGCTCATAGGCTTTTCTTAATCACATTGACCTCATCCACTTGATACACCCCAGCAGCACACCTTGCTCGGAGTGGGTAACTCAGAAAATCTGAGATCCCAGTTAAGCAGTTAAATCTCTTCACCAGTGTGGACTTGAGTACTCTCATCCTCCAGCAGCAAAGGTCCCTAAGACAGGGAGGGGCACGGGAAATTGGTTCCTTCAGAACAGAAACAACCCCAAAGACCATTAGCAGAAGACAATTCCATCTCAGGCTGAAAACCCACATCAGAATGCATCCCCATTCTTACTCCTGCACTGAGCATGTCACTTCATCTGTCTGGGCCTTGCTACCTTTTTTTTTTTTTGTAGCCTCATCTTAAGTGGGCACAATGGCTGGTTGAGTTCTCAGGTTTCTTCCCAGTCCAGTGCACTCCCAAGCGCCCCCCACCAACCCCCAGCTATGATTCTGTGGCTGTGGATTTACACTGGACCTCTAGGGTCCCACTCCAGGAGGCCAGGGCTTTCCACTTTAGTAACGGGTTTGTAAGGGGAAAAAATGTGATACCTCAAACAGCCCTAGGATAAGTGAGGGTCAGTATTAAACAAGCATCACTCTTCATAAATTAGTACTGATATCTAGCCAGAACCCTTCAGGGAAAAAAAGGGACTCTTTTTTAAACCGTAAGTTTCTTTCTCTTTAAAGGAAAATTGCCAAGGATGCAGAAGGAAATGAAGATGATCAAAGATGAGGATGTGCATTTCAGTTTGGGTGTGAAGAGAGCCCCCTCCTTTCCCCACTGCCTGCAGCCAGTGGTTTCCCGAGGGAAGGCTCCCCAAAGACACCCCTTCCCAGAAGCTCTCCGGGGGCCTTTTTCCCAATTTCGGTATGAACCTCCTCCGGGACACCTGGATGGATTCCCGGGGGTCTTTGAAGGAGGAGGGTCTCGGAAACGGAAGAGCATGCCCACCAAGATGCCCTACAACCACCCTGCGGAAGAAGCCCCTCTCGCCCTCCATGAGGAGAGCAAAAACCACGGCCCTCCGAACCTCTCTCTGCTCTTCCCGCAGCCCCCGCGCCCCAAGTATGACTCGCAAATGATCGACCTGTGCAACGTTGGCTTCCAGTTCTACCGCACCCTGGAACACTTGGGGGGCAAGCCCGTCAAGCAGGAGCCCGTGAAGCCCAGTGCTGTGTGGCCCCAGCCGTCCCCCGCTCCGTTCCTGCCCACGCCCTACCCCTACTACCCCAAGGTACCCCCGGGCCTCATGTTCCCCTTCTTCATGCCCTCGGCCTCCCCCTTCCCCTTCAGTCGGCACACCTTCCTGCCCAAGCAGCCCCCGGAAGCGCTGCTGCCGCGCAAAGCCGAGCCTCAAGAGAGCGAGGAGACCAAGCAGAAGGTGGAGAGGGTGGATGTGAACGTGCGCATTGACGACAGTTACTACGTGGACGTGGGCGGGGCGCAGAAGCGCTGGCAGTGCCCCACCTGCGAGAAGTCCTACACCTCCAAGTACAACCTGGTCACCCACATCCTGGGCCACAGCGGGATCAAGCCGCACGCGTGCACGCGCTGCGGAAAGCTCTTCAAGCAGCTCAGCCACCTGCACACCCACATGCTGACCCACCAGGGCACGCGGCCCCACAAGTGCCAGGTGTGCCACAAGGCCTTCACGCAGACCAGCCACCTGAAGCGCCACATGATGCAGCACAGCGAGGTGAAGCCGCACAACTGCCGCGTGTGCGGCCGCGGCTTCGCCTACCCCAGCGAGCTCAAGGCCCACGAGGCCAAGCACGCCAGCGGGCGCGAGAACATCTGTGTGGAGTGCGGCCTCGACTTCCCCACTTTGGCCCAGCTGAAGAGGCACCTCACCACGCACCGGGGGCCCATCCAGTACAGCTGCTCCGAGTGCGACAAGACCTTCCAGTACCCGAGCCAGCTGCAGAACCACATGATGAAGCACAAGGACATCCGTCCCTACATCTGCTCCGAGTGCGGCATGGAGTTCGTGCAGCCGCACCACCTCAAGCAGCACTCCCTCACGCACAAGGTACGGCGGCGGGGGGGGGGGGGGGGGGGGGCGGCGCTTGGGGAGCAGGCGCAGAGCCCTGGCGGGGAGGGGCCAGGAGCCCTTGGCTGCCCTCCGCCTGGGACAGGAGGGGTCTGCAACTCTGGGCAAGGGGCTGCTTCCCTGAGTCCTCACCTCCCTCCTCACCTTGACATGGCAGACGCTGAGGAGACCAGCAAGCACGTCCTTTGCCCTCCAGCCTTCTAGAGTCTAAGATGGGCCTCGAAATACATAATGTGGCCAGTTCGGAAAAGAGGGTGAGGAAGGCCGAAGGAAACAACAGGTCCTTGTGCTGTTGCTTCTTAGCCTCCTACAACCGCTAAAATTCGGTTTCTGGAAACCTCATCCAGGGCACTAGCATGAGTGTGGCCTTAGGCCTCATTTACCCAAGACCAGCTCTGTGCCTGGGATATACTAATCAGAGCCTTCTAGAGACTTCTCTTGGTCCTTTGCTGCCGAAGCCGTGGCTCCGTTTTGGGCCGTTTTCTCGCTCAGCTGTGAGAACTGCTTCATTTGCACATGGCTCGGTCCAGCAAGGCCTGCGCTTCCGGTAGTAGAGCCCCCGCCTAGTTGGGGTCAGTGCCCTGTGGTTTGTTTTGTGGGAGGAGTGAGAGAGTATCCTTCTGTTTGCTTTGGTTTTATCTTCCCTGGGAATTACAGGCCCGAGGGTCTAATTTCAGCCTGGCTTGCAACCAGAGCTCTTGAGTCCTGCAGGATGAACTAAGGCAAGGCCCCAGTTGTGTCCCTGAAATCTTACCCAGCTAAGCTGACTTGGGTCTGCTTTGAGCTTTCGAGAGGGGAGCTCTGCCCCACTGACCTCTCCCCTCACACTTTTGACCTCAAGTGGTTTTCTTGGTGGGAGAGACTTCTAGTAAGCCAGAGTTTCTAAAACCCACTCTTTAATTCAGAAAGATCAGTGGAGGACTTTGCCCAGCCAAGAAAACATCTCTACTCTGCCATAATGGGTTTCATTTGATAGGTTAGGACACAACAGGGGCATTTTTTGGCTCTGCAGCAGAGGACGAAATGTGTGGCTGCCTTGTGGGCAGTGCACCTGTAGATTCTACAGCTCCTGCCCTGCAAAAGGCACCATAGATTCCACCCAGAGAGGAGGCACCTGCCAAATGCAGGAACCATCAACAAAGAATCTATACTGAGATTCAGCTGCAAAGGGGACCATATGCTGATTTCAAGGGCTCCTACATGTGTGGAAAAGGAGTCAAAGATGCATTTTAGAACATATAAAAATTCTGTAAAATAGTAGAAAATGAAGTCAAAAATGGACAAAACAACCTGGTATCTGAAATGTCTCATTTGAATTAGGAAACAAAACCCATTTTAATCCACAGTGTCCGCAAACAGTGAGAGGTAGTATTTACTGAACACTTGCTGTGTACCAGGTGCTTTACTTCTCATTTAATCTTCTTCAACAACTCTAAGAGCTACCTGCAGGTATCTCTACTCCAGATTTGCAGATGAAGGCACTGAGGCATGGGGCAGCCTCCCAGAATCTGGGACTCCAGCTCTTGAACGCTACTGTCAAGTGTTCCCCTTCTCCACCCCCTTTCCTCCCTCACTCCTAACAACCCCCACAGGCTCCTTCTCTGTGCTTTCACTGATCCTGTTAGTGACACAGTCGCTTCCTTTGTTCCCCAAGTTGTGTCCAGCCTTCCATTCACTAGAGTTCTAGGCCAGCCTATGTGTGAATTTTACTCTTCAGAGAATTCCGAAAACAGTGATAAGTGGATTCTTCTCCTTGGTCGCAAGACAACAGAATCATAGGCAAGTGGAGAGGCGATCTTGAGAAGAAAGATGCTGAAGTAATGTTTGAAACCAATCAAGAACATAATTTTTATTAATTTCAAAATTTTAAACTCACGGCTTGAATATGCAACATACTGTTAAAATTCATCTTCTTAGGAGGGCATTAAAATTTAGGTCTCTTTGTTAGCATAAATTCATACTCATCTACAATCATCTAGACTCAAGAGTATTCCAGCTGGAAAGAGTACCTGATTCTCATACCCACCACCACATCTTGAGATGAGGGAGCCATCACCAGGAGAGGCCATGAGACTTGTCTAAAGTTACACAGCCAATAAATGGCTGGGCAGAAGACCTGGACTCACCCTTGGGTGCCATGGGCTCACCAAAACTGAAGAGTGATATTTTCTTATCATGTCCCACATTAAAGAAATGGACATATAGGCAGAGAGACCCAGAGCTATACTTGGAACTCCTCTCTCCCTAGGTCACTATGGATACCAGATAATATGTGTTTTATAAGGTACAATTGTTAGCTAAGCAACTTGTTATAATCCTGTAACAACCTTAGTTTTAATGCCATGGTTCTCTAAGTTTTCCTTCTGAAAAGTCATTCTGTGTTAAGATGGCTTGTAGAGGCCTTTTCAGGAAAGCACTGGTGAGTCAGGAATAGCTAATACTCTACGTATGCTATGAGTCCCTGGGAGTGCTTTCAATTGAGGGCATTGATGCTTAAGAATTCAAACACTTCTCCATAAACAAGGAAAATAGAAGGTCTCCTTCTGTCCTATTTTCTAATTCAGAAAGCTGTCCTCTGCCAAATTTCTCTATAGGACAGAAGCTAGCTGAGCAGAGGCTCCATAGCCAAATCACACAGAGGTCACCATGACCTGTGGGAGCCCTGGAGACTATTTCAAGAGTTGTAATTTATTCAAGTGTGCATAAGAATTGTTCTTCTGGGATTTTCAAGTCCATTAATGAGAATGCCAGAAAACAGTGGTTTTCATATGAGAAATGATATTATCTTGAGAAGGTTTTATTTTTTTCATTATCAGGAAAGGTGGATTATAGACTCATTTCACATATTCCACAGTGCTCTTACCAAAATCCTATTAATCCCCAGAACTGTTACTGTAGAATTAACCCCTGTAGCAGCAGGAACAAGAGCAGCGGCTTTCTTTTCCTCTAAAGGTCTGGCTTAGTTCATGGTTTTCAGAAAACAAAGAAGATTATGTAATCAACACTTTTCAAGAAAACATCAGTTAACAAGGCTAGTGCCACACCATTTGGGACTCAGCATCTGTCACCAAGCTCTTCATGGACTTGTGTGGCAAAGAGAAAAATGAAGACTATAATTCTGATGAAAGCATGTTACCAGCTAACCACAGCATTTTTGGAATCTTGCTTCCCTCCAGGGCGTGAAGGAGCACAAATGTGGGATCTGTGGACGGGAGTTCACTCTGTTGGCCAACATGAAGAGACACGTGCTGATCCATACCAACATTCGCGCCTACCAGTGTCACCTCTGCTACAAGAGTTTTGTGCAGAAACAGACCCTCAAGGCACACATGATCGTCCACTCTGACGTGAAGCCTTTCAAATGCAAGGTGGGCAGTGGGCCCCAGGAGGGATGCAGGTGGGGAGGACTCAGAGGGTTGTGCTAATGCCCTGTGGGGGAGAATCTCCAAGAAACTTTCTACGGTGTCATCAGGTGGGGTCACTGAGGCTCAGAGTACGTCTGTGGCCAACCCCAGGCCCATCTGCAGCTCTGTTCCTCTTTGCACCACCTATGCTCACACCAGCCCTTAGCTGGTCCCTGAGAATCCTGCCCTGTTTGTCTCACTGTGAAATCAGAGTGTAGAGGGGAGGAGGCAGCCAGTAGGGGAGGTCTGAGGATGGAAGGCCCATTTGGGGAATGAGGTTGTAAAAGGACGAAGGTGATGTGGAGAGTTCCCATTCCAGAAAGGAGCAATCGGGTATAGTCCTCTTCTCCTTACAAGCCAATAAGTAGAATAGAGAAAGGAGTCATAGAGGCTTCTAGCACTGCCCCTCCTGTCTCATACCGCCCCCACTGCCCTCCTGACACTTGGACTGAGCCATGTAATTTGAGGGCAGTTCTCCCAGGCAAGATGAATGAGATTCTGAGGTTAGCCCCTCTGATGACCTTAGAAATGCTTGTTTGGGTCAAGGAATAACTGTGAGCACAGTCATCTGAAGTGTTTCTCGTTTGTTCCTAAGTACCATGGAGTGCAAGGATTGAGCATCTTCATTAAAATGTCTGTATCAGGTTAACCTGGTTGGATTTTTATTGTATCAGCGGAGATAACGTGGGAACTGGAGATCTGTAAAACTCAAGGCAATGACTGGTATTACTTAAAATGCTTGGGCTTTCCAGACGGTTCCCCTCTCCTCCCGTCCCCTCCCCACATTGTTTCCCTTCTCCACCTCCAGAGTGAGAAGGAATCTTGCCGGGGATTCGGTAGTTTAATTCAAGGAATGTACAGGCACGTGTCATCCCCATCGTGAAGAGAGGGCGAGGGTGAATGAGAGGGGAACCCCACCTTCAGTTAGAGCCTCTCTGTTTGAAATGGAAGCCTTCCTTCTTGGTTACTGCATGTCTGATAGGGTCCCGATGATATGCTCTGTGCATCCGAGGGGCTGTTCCTGCTTTAATCCCTCTACAGCATGTCCCCTGTCCCCCCCTCCCCACTTGAAGGAACCCCCCGTGAACTAACTGCTTTCCTGTGTTGGCCACTCCTGGACGGGGTGAGAGGGGTCAGGAACCAGAGCTTCCCTAGACCTGTATGAGCATTCTCTGGAGGTGGGGGAGGGAGGTTTCTCCCTCCAGCCCCTTCCTGCCACCCACTTGTGTTTCCCCTCCTTTCCTTCAAGTTCCCAGTGGTTTGAAAGTCAATTTATGTCCATCTTGAGTCATCTGAGCCAAAGGGGGAGGAAGCTGCATGCAGATGGGGCTACAGAATTCATAGTGCCTGGTGCAAAATGAAAATGTGAGGCCGCTTGTTCAAACATTGTTAAGAATTTCAAGGTGTTAAACTCAGGACCCTTCTGAGTTGGGGCCTGTGTGACTGCATTGGTCACATGTCCATGAAGCCAGCCCTGGCTGCACGAGTCTGTGGAGTCCATATCCCACCTCTTTGTTCTCTTGTTAGGCACCCTTGATTTCCTTCCCACTTCCCACTTGAGCCCAGGGGTTTGCTGTCTCCTACAGTGGGGGTGTAAACAGGTGCTGTTGGTCACTCCGCATGTGTTACGCTGAGTGTACTCTTGGGCTTTGAGCACGAACTGTGTTTTTTATCTTATCAACTGGTGGTGGAACATATACCTTGTTAAAACGCGAAGGGAGCCATGCTTGCCGTCCCTTCCACACCTGTCCAGTCCAGCCAACTCCCACTTCCACCTCATCAATTCAGGTCCAGAAGTAGTGGTTAAACCAGGCAGAAAATATCTCTGAAACAAGGGATATGTCAGGGAGCAGAGCCGATACAGGAAAAGGGCTTGCAGGCTGGGTTTGATCTGGGGACATAGGGGCAGTTCTTTGTGCCTACCTCAAGGGCCTTGGAACGGCCTGGAGAATTTCTTGGGCCAGGTGGTATCTGAGGGTTTAGAAGGTTCTCTCTGGTACCAGTGCACAGAAAACTGCACATTGTAGTGCAACCTGGGCCCAATGATCAGTGAGCCAGCTTTGCCCAATGCTTTGTGGGCATTGGGCATCCACCATCCACCCCAATGATAGTGTACCATACAGGGCTCAACAGGTGCCTGAGGTTCCACTTTGTGGTTCAGAAACTCAATTTGACCTCTCCTTGAGGGTGCATTAGGCTCTGTATGTGTGCTCACACCACCAGATTGCAGGATGAAATGCCAGCTCTGAGATGATGCACAGTTTATATTCTTCAGTGGCAGATGGGCCTGTTGCAGGAATTGGACGAGTCATCTGCAAAGGCCACCTTTCCCTGGTGGAAGGGTTTTCCCAGGAGACCACACTATGGGTCAGGAGGCTGCCTAGGAGAGTGTATCTATCATTAAAAAAAACAAGTGGCTGTTGAAAGGTACTTTTGTCAAGCAGGTGGCCCTTCTCCATTCTTAGACATTTCTGAAACAAGGACAGGTGTCAGTCACCTCACTGAAGAGCCCTCTGCCGCCAGGGAGGTTCCAGAAGCATCTCCCTGTCCCCATCTCCCTGCCAAGTGCTCCCCTGCTTGGTGTCCTCTTTGTATCATCACCCTTCTTCATTTCAAAGGAATTTCAGCACATGTCTGCATTTACAGAGTATGTGACAGGGCTCTTTGTGTTTGTAAACTAGCTCCAGATCCCACTGTAGGATGGGCCATCTCAAGATAGTGTCCTGTGGACTTTGCTCCCCATCAGTTGTCGTTGTGGATTCTTGGAAATCTGGCCCTGAGTGGAGGTTGATGGGACTTTGGGAGTTGGGTACGGAATGGAGGGCCATTTGCTCATCACTACAAAATTCACAGTCAATCAGAGATGAGTCACAGGCTAACTGCATAGCGATGTTGGAGAAGAGGCCCGAAAACCCAACCCAAGCTTTATTGTGGGTAACAGGGAGGAGATGTTCCCTTTACATGATTGACATGGCTGGAAAAGGAGGCAGACCTTGCTTCAGTCATGTTCCAAGAGTTAGCTCTGTCTCTTTGACCCAAAACCTTGTAAAAAGGGGAGATTGCTTAAGTAACAGATTCTACTTTCTTGGGTTTCTCACCACTAAAAATCCTTCCTAACCTAAAGCCCTCCCCCACTCCAAGCCCTGTTGCAACATGGACTGGCTCTCTCTGGCCCCATGCTCAGTGGAAACAGCTGTCCACAGCAAGCAGAAACATTCGCTCACTGTGAGATTAAGCATTAACAATAGGATGGAAAATTAGAGGAGAGGAAAGGTTTCCATTCTATATTTCTTTTTTTTTTTCTTAAAAAAAAAAAAATTACTGCCCTTCTGGGCTCTTTTGCTATTGGCTCCACTTCTGGACTCCCTGCTTCTTGGAGCCAGCTGGAGGATCTCCAAAGACCTGCGCCTGTAGACTTAAGCCATGTTTCAGAAATATGCTTCCCAGATTCTGCGTAAGCACGCAGGGGTTGATTTGGATGCTATCCTTGTAGCAGCCACACTCCATAATAGCAAAGAACCAGCTGCCGTCTTTGGGAAACCTGTCCAGGAAAAGCAGCCATCCAGAATTTCCGGGACAAATTCTCCTTTGAGATGGGTGAAGCCGGGAGCTGCCTAAGTTATGAATCACCAGGTCATCTGCAGCCTCGTCTGAGGCAGAGGCCCGAAGGCGGAGGGCAGAGCTGATAGAAGAGGATGAGGTCTCCTTGGAAAAGGTCCCACCACCTTTGCCACAATGGCTTTGCTTGGCACTCCAGCTCTTGGATGCCCCATGGGGGATAAACCGGCTGGGGCCTGTGAGGGGCCCAGAACTTTGGGTCTGGGCTCTCAGGCTGGCATGGAGGGGGTTAAGGCAGTGACCAGATAGCAGCCTTTTGGCAGTAAAGCCCTCCTCAGCAGAAGGAAGGATATAACTGTATGAACTGCCTGCTTAACAATGCCTCACATGTCCCCAGGGGCCCTCCTGCAAATAGATTTCATCTTGCTTTCTCTTGTACTTTTCAAAGCTTCCTGTTTTCTCACGGTCCTTTTGGACAGTTTACAGTCTCTCTCTCTCCCTCCCTCCCTCTCCCTTTGAGGAAAGGAACACCCTTCTTATTAAAAAGAGAGAGAGAGAGAGAGAAGAATGTAAGGGAAGGGCAGTTTAGCAAAGGCCATTCTCCTCGGCTGCAGGCTTCAGCTCTTTGACCTTTTCTCCTAGAATAGGAAAACACAGGCTTCCTGGTGCATCTCAGTCCTCAGGCTCAGATGAGGCTGGTTGGCACGAAGCGGCGTGCCTCTTCTTGGCTCTGTGGGCCTCTGGCCACGGCTGCCTGCTGCCATCCCCCAGTCTCTTCACAAAGCTGGCTTCTCGGTGTGGCTGGCTGGCCGCATTGTCACTGCAGCTCACGCGAAGTGCCTGAGGTGCCTCCAGGCCCTGGACAGTGAGGGGCGGGGCAGGAGGAGGCCAGAATTCAGAGTGAACAGGGCTTCGGCCAGCTATTTAAAGGGCTGAGGACTGGGTTGCTGCATAAAGGGCTTTCCCAAAGCCTGCAATTCAGGATGCATCTTCTCTTTCCAACCACATTTCTTAGTGCTGGGTCAGGCACAACTCCTTCCATTTCTGTACGCCTCAAGTGACCTGGCAAGTATTTGCTCAAAGGATTCCTTACTTCATCCTCCCTTTAATTTAATTTCCTCCAAATAATTTGGTTTAAAAAGCACTCTTATCTGTAAAGATCTTTCTATTTCCAGATTGTAAAGGAGTCTACTATGTACATGGTAATGATAATAATAAGAGCTAATATTTATTGAGCTCTTACTATTTGGCAAGACCTTTGCATGAATTATCTCATTTGATCCTTACAACAACCTTCATAAGAAACTATTATCATTGACATTTTACAGAAGAGAAAATGGAGCAAGTTCTCTATCCTTTTGGGCTCTCACCATCACCTCTCTGCTCTGCTATCTCCAAACCTAATGATTCGTGCAACCCACTTTGAAAGGACAGTTCAAAACATTTGTTCCAATTTTCTATTAAATGTTGAGGTCCTCCTCCATTTAAAAAGTAGGCATAAAAGTGTGTCTTTGATGGAAAAGCTGAGATTTAATGTCAGAGGCACACGAATACCCCTCATTAGAGCAACTGAGAGTTCAGGAGGGGCAGACTGGTTGAGATGACCACCTGCACCATGACATCTGAGACTTCACCATTCCATTAGCTTCCTGTATCCCCCAACAGCCACCTTAATTTAATCCCCACAGACCTTGGCAGGAGATGATTCAGCAAGTCTTGACTTGGGTAAGCTCTTAGCCTCACACCTCATGATTATAGGGGCCTTGACATAGACTGACTGCTTTCCCCAGGAGAAAAACTAGCATTTTGGTGATCCCTCCCAACTCTTCTTCTTCCTTCCAGTCTACTTCCCTTTCTCTATTATAATGATTCTTCTTGAAGCTCACATCTCAAACCCTACCCAAGGGGGCCATCTTTAATTCGCCCAGTTCTCTTTCTCTGGCCTCTCTCCAGTAACAGTGACTGAGAGGTCTCTCTCTGAATTTCACAGACATAAAATATCTTCTACTATGTGGATAGCCCTGTGCTTGATATTGAGGTTGGCCACAAAGAAAAGGAAGGTAGCCCTTGCATTTCAGAAGATAACCTAGGGTTCCTTTTAGTGCCCCAAACATCTTTCAGAGTTAACACACCTTCATTCAACCCTGCAAAAGCTTTCCATTGGTTGGTCCAGTAGGCTACCATAAACCATGAAGGATAACTCTGATGTATAAAAAATAAATTTTACCAACAGCACAAAAATAAGTGTCCTCTACCAGTCACCTTCTGATAATATAGCTGACCAGTCATGCCCTACAGTGGACCTTCCCTAAAGCCATATGCTTTGACTTCAGGGGACAATATCATTTTAATGTCCTGATATACTCATGTACCACTAAAAATGTCTCATGATTTTCAGGAGTGAATGAATTGAGTTAGAAAAACATTACATTAGAAAAATACACACTGGGCTATGTTAAAGGATCATAAAATGTGGCTTGTCTAAAGCTAAGAAAGAATCTGGAAATTACTTATCAGTAGCCATTCTGATGTGTGCACACACCTGTGTTGGGGTGGGAGTGGGGTAGGGAAGGGGAAAGGGAAGTGGGACCCTGGGGCAGGTGAACTGCACGACCCCTCTGACCCCCAAGTCACAGCAGCTGTGGCAACAGCAAATAGTTGGTCATTATCACAACTGTGATCACTGTGTTGCCTATGGTTTAAGGTTGAATAGAGTGCCTGAAACTACTTAATGAAGAGAATTCATTCTGTATCAAAACAAAAACAAATGGCACCCTATACATCCTTCAAGGTTTGGCTAAAATTCCATCTCTGTTATAAAAACTGTTTCAGACAAGTCCAGCTTCTAATACCTTAGCAAGTAGAGGTAATACCTAAAAGTAGAATCTCTCCTTCGTAGGAGCCAAGTAAAGAAGGCACCCATCTCTTCAATTCTGTCTGGTTTAAACTACCACGAGACCCATCCAAGCCTGGACTAGTACAGTAGTCTGATCTTGCAGCCTCCAGCTCCTCTCCTCCCATGTGTCTTACCACCCAGGGCTTCTGCTGTTTTCAGATCTTTTGCTGCAACCTCACTCCAAATAATCAGGAACCATCCCACAAACCAAATGAGATATACTTTTTCTAAAATGAATCATGAGTGGAAATACCTAATGTAGAATCTCTAGATTCAAAGCTTTCTTTCCCCCTTAGTCAGGATGGAGCACTGGATAAACTAAGCTAAGCTAATAAATAATACTCTACCAGAACTTCCACACATGTGCAAAGCTGAGTCACAGATTGATTCATCTTACTAAATCGTCTCTATTGAGAATAAAAGAAAGCAAGTATCCATCCCACACGTAGGGCTTCTCCCCAGGACATTAAAATTAGACCAATTGGGTCACCTTTTCCACATAAATGTGGTGTGCAGGTGCTCTGAATACTGAGTGTGGGACACCAGTATGCCAAATTCATTCTTGCCAGTAAGGAAGTAAAAAGGGAAAAAAGTACTTAACACCCCCAAATATGAATCATTTAAAAATACAGAACCAATTATTCATTATCCATGCGTGGATTATCTGTGACAAAGTCGTCATCCCAGCTGGCTGCCTCTTACCACCCAGCATTCTTTTCGGCTGGCCTCCCAAGGTCATTGTTTGTTAGGTCTACCCATTCTTCCAGGGCCAGTTAAATCTCATCTCCAAGGCCACCTAACAGAAACAGTGCCTTCTTTAATAAATATTCAATCCAGAATCCCCAACACTGTCCCTGAAAATCTCTCTCCATGAGAAAGGAAAACTGGTGTCAGCCTCAGGGGACACTTACCCTGAGTCCTGTCTCCAAGCCATCTCTCCCCCCATCTCGCTGCCCTCACGACATGGGCCTCTGAGGTTGGGGAGGGAAGGAAGATGTTCCTTCTTAACACTCTGGCCTTAGCACACACAGAAAACCCTTCTTTCTATTCTTCCCAGCACAGCTGAGGGAGGGCTGGATTCTCTAAACCCTGCTCTGCTAGGGCTTGGGGACAAGAAAAGGAAGGAAAAGACCCAGAGCAGCAGATTCTGTTTTCCACCTTCTGCATCTGCATAAATTGCCTTCGAAAGGCAGTTCAGTTCTTTCAAAAGAAGTTGGAGAACCACTGTTCTGATCCATCATGCATCTGCACTTTGTTGGAAAAAGATATGACAAAACAACAAAAAGAAAGAAATGAATAAAACGTGTTTACTTTTTGTATAGCTGAGATAATATTTTTCAGTACTTCAAATCTCTGCCCATAGAGAAGACATATTCCTTCCTTTAGCTCTCTCTTTGTTCTTTCTAATTTTGACATCCAGCCCAAAAATAAGCAAATTAAAAAATTAGAAACACATTGCACGATACAGTCTAACAAAAGAGTTATGTTGAAGGGACACAGGATGGTGTGGTGGTTTACCATGTGGCTTCTGGTGTCTAGTGGCCGTAGTTCATTATCCCAGCTCCAGTGCCCATTAGCTGTGTACCTTGGCCGAGTGCCTTAATCCCTCATTTTGTCCATCTGTAAAATGGGGGTGATAACAGCACCCATCTCATGGAATTAGATGTGATACTCCATGGCAGACTTAGGACAGTATCTTCCATGTTATAATGCTCCATAAATATTAAACAAGTAATCATATACTTACGATTAAAGTGAAGCACACTTTGAGCCATTGCTTTTCACATCAGCCTTTCTCCTTTTCTACAACTTGCATTCAACTGAAGCTGAAATAGGTCTGCAAGTTTTGCCTTGTGTTTAAAAATCACTGTGTAATAGGAACACAATCTCATGAGTCCATTCCTACTGGCTCCACCTCTGAGCCTGGGCACAATCCAGGCCCTCCCTGACGTCACTGGGGACATTTCACTTGGAGGCTGCTTAAAATGCCAAGATCCAAACAAAGGAGAAGCACATCCATCCTCACATGGGCCTGGGTGTGGGCTCATCTGGGGAGGGCCCACCACCACGAGTAACCTGTCTTATCCTCATCATTGTTTCTGACAGCTGTGTGGGAAGGAATTCAACCGGATGCACAACCTAATGGGTCACATGCACCTGCACTCTGACAGCAAACCCTTCAAGTGTCTCTACTGTCCGAGCAAATTCACCCTAAAGGGGAACCTGACACGCCACATGAAAGTCAAGCACGGGGTCATGGAGCGGGGCCTCCATTCTCAAGGTAATCACTCTTCCAGGAAGCACCCAAGGCTGCTGAGGCCAGTGGATAACAAAAGGGAGCCGAACTTGTTTTTAGGGGGCTTTACTTTGGGGGCTATTCCTGTAGTTGAAAAGGGATCAGAATTTTCAAGACCACAGCAGAGGAATAGGAAGAGTCTCACAACGTTACTATAACAAATAGAATGCTAATATCTGAAGGTAGTGCATAAAAGTGAATTATAGAGGAGAAATTGGAATATCCAAATGACGCCCGTCAGTACCGTTATTAGTTTTTGCTCCAGACACCACATCAGGTGTCCTGTCTCCTTTAATCTTTAAACAACTCAAGGCGAGGGGTGCCTGGGTGGCTCAGTCGGTTGGGCGGCTGCCTTCGGCTCAGGTCATGATCCTGGGGTCCTGGGATCGAGCCCTACGTCCGGCTCCCTGCTCGGCGGAGAGCCTGCTTCTCCCTCTCCCTCTGCCTGCCACTCTGCCTACTTGTGCTCTCTCTCTGTCTCTCTGTCAAATAAATAAATAAAATCTTTAAAAAAAATAAATAAACAACTCAAGGCGAGAGGAACTTCTATTACCTCCATTTTACAGATGGGGTAACTGAGGCTTCAAGATACTGATTTTCCCAAAGCTGCTCAACTCAAAAGTGGCAGAGTCAAGATTTGAACACAGACCTTCCTGACCCTAAAGCCTTTAGTGGATCTTTTTCATCGCACTGCTGTTAAAGGACATGTGATTTTTCTTTCCTTTCTAAAAACCAGGTCTGTAAGCTCCGCATTAGCAGAAGTGTGTCTGTAGCAGGCTAGGTCTCCTTGTGTTTACAACCAGATGCACCCAGGGACAGTTTTCCTGCTTGGTGGGGCTAATTGGCCCATATGCAGAGCACAGGCTGCTGCCTCCCCCCACTGAGTCCTCACTGAACCGGTAAAAAGTTCTTGCCTCTTCCATTTTCTCAGTCCCAGGGCCCTTAGCTGTGAAGAGTTTAGGTTCCCGATCCACTAAATTCAGCAGGTTGCTCTTTAGTCACTTAAACAAGTGGTCCTTCAACAAGCAGGCAAGAAATGCACCTCTATCCCAAACAGCACACTACGTGCTGCCAGAGAGACCAGGGAAGTGAGACCATCTTTGCTCCCTGGAAGGTCCGTGTGCGGGGAGAGCAGACACACACTGAGGTAACTTACAAAACCCTGTGAACTGCTGTTTTCTGATACTGGTGTGATTAAAGCGCAGTGCCATGCACTTTAGAAATACTATTGTTTGTGCCCACAACTTCACAAAGTAGCCTGTGTTATTCCCATTTTATGTAAGAGGAGACCAAGACCAAGAGGCGTTATAAACTGTTCGATGTTATACACCAAATCTGAAGGCAGAACTGGGACTCCAACTCCAGAATTTCTGAATGAAGCCGGTGCCCACTACACTAGGTGAACACGTGGGGTGATCTGTTCTTGTTGGCTGCTTCTCCTACCCTTCTCAGAGAGCTGGTCAAATAGGCACACGTATTCATAAATACGACACACACGTATACCCACAGCATGAAACAGAATGATTATAGTTTTCCTATTTTTCACGGCACCCACTGAGTTTACACTGCTCCTGAGTGACGGGGAGCTGTGGTCATCACAAAACAAAGCCTAGAGTTTATGCAAAAGCGCTGAAAAAATTCTGGTAAAAAATAAAAGCCGTTTTCTTTCCCCAAGGTTGGTTTTCTCCTGAATTATTCTTTGCATCTCTAGTTGCCTGAGCTAATTTCCAACATAGGCCTGGATTTTTCCAGAATAGGTGAAGTTGTTCAGTCGCTGTGGCTGGGGACAGAAGGCACTGAGGAGACAGTCCTCCACTTGAAAGCCTACCCTGGTCATCGTGTCTTACCCCACATGGGGGCTCAAATCCTAAAAGGCACCTAATGACTCTGTCATTCTTCTGGAAAAATAAAGAGCATCATATATATCAGAGAGATGCTTTGAAAGTTAACAGGCTTTCAACAATTTTAATGTTTTCATCTACAGAAGGTGTTAGCACTTTTTTACTCTAGTGTTTGAAATGGCTCAAAAATCATGACTCAGATTAAAAAGATCCTCCCTGTGCCCCTTATATGATTAAAGCTATAGACAGCTTCATTGCCTGACAATACCATAAGGCAGGCTGACTTGGACCTTTACCTCCTTTATGTGCCCCCACCCTGGAAGCCTGATTGTTCCCACCTCTTCCTCAGGGCCTGATTGGGGGCTCACCAGAACCAGAGACCTTCAAGATCAAATCAGACAGAGTGTTACCATGCGTTTGTTGGCTCCTGAGAAGTCCGTCCCTGCAGGGCCCTCAAACTGAAACTAAAAGTGAGACCCTTGCGCATGGCTGTGCCCAACAGCAGGGATACTTGTGGTCGGACACAGGGGCTTTGGATCTCTTTGTGCCCTCTCTATCTGTGCTTAGGGGCCCGGTATGGGGTGGCCTTCTTAGCCCCAAATGGTAAATATAATTTTTTCAAGATGAAAATACCTCTGTTATGGTTTTGTTTTTTCTTATGGTAAAATATATGCTCACTGAAAATAATAAGAAATATATTAGAAATGAAAAGAAAAATGTTAGAATCACCTAATGTTTGAGATTTTGACATAAATTCTTCCAGATATTTTTTGATAAAGATAGATAAAATCGGGACTGTACTATAAATATATATGATAAATATATGTTTTTTACTTAAAATATATAGAATACCTTTTTATGACTATTAGTAGGTCTCTACATCTTCTACATGTGGTTCATTGTATTATTTAAGTAAACCTCTATCATTTCAGTTTCACTGTAAAAAAAAATGTGATGAGCATCCTTATACATTTTGTGCACCTGTATGACTATTTTCGTAGTTTAAATTCTCAATTGTATAATTGCTCAGTCAGAGCTATGCTTATTTTAAGCTTTTGGTACATGTTGCCAGATTTACCTTAAAGGAGTTCTACTGATGTAAACTACATTTGTGACAAGGCCCATCTCTCCATAGCCTTACTGGGAATTTATTTTTATTTTTTATTTTAATTTAATTATTTTTTTTAAGTAGGCTTCACACCCAGCGTGGAGCCCAACACAGGGCTTAAACTCACGGCTGTAAGATCAAGACCTGAGCCGAGATCAAGAGTCAGACGCTTAACCAACTGAGCCACCCAGGCGCGCCTGGGAATTTGTTTTTAAAATGTAAAATGAAACTATACTAAATGGCCCTGGGTACCATGCAATGACCCATTTTCACAGCTATTCCTGGGGCCTGAATATTGCTTTTGCTCTCACAGGTTTTGGAAGGGGGAGAATGGCCCTGGCCCCGGCGGCGGGAGTGCTCAGGAGTCTGGAACAGGAGGAGCCCTTTGACCTTTCCCAGAAGCGTGGGGCAAAGGGGTCAGTGTTCCAGTCCGATGGGGAGAGCGCCCGGGGCAGCCCCTGCCACGAGGAAGAGGGGGAGGACACCAGCTGTGAGGTGGGGCGAGACAGCCCGGGCCCGGCCCCGCAGAGCAGGCAGCCCTGCACACCCCACGGTCTACCCGCCCAGCCCGAGCCGGCTCCCGGGGCCCTCGAGGACCCCTGTGAGGAGCAAGAGGAGGACGACGATGAGGACAAGCCCAGAGGAGAGCACCAGGAGGGGAGCAAGGACAGCTGCGGGGCAGAGGGCAGCCCGGAGAGACACTTTGCCCTCAGAGAAGAGTGTCTCCGCCTCAGGGCTCTGCAGAGCGCCCGGCGGGGCCCCTCCTTTTCTGATTACTTGTACTTCAAGCACAGAGATGAGAGTTTAAAAGAATTACTGGAGAGGAAAATGGAAAAACAAGCAGTGCTTTTAGGTATCTAAGTGGACAGTTTTCAAATTGCATTTGGAAAATGAGAACTAGGCAGTTCAAATATAGATTTCTGCATGAGTTGTCATTTGCTGGAGACTGGCAAATGGTGCAAATCTTTATAAATGGCTCAGACTACACGAGCAGGGATTTGTCCTCAGTAATGTAAACGCTTCTCAGGTCTCTCCTTGGGCCCTTGATTTCTAACACACATGCAGGGTCCTCTTCAGTGCTATTTTATGCATCTTCACTGTAATAGACTGTACATATCCTAGATACCTAATTGTAAGCTGATGCCGAGGTGCTTTTAGAAAGTCTATTTTCCTTTGACTAATATGCAATACACGGGGAATTTTTTTTAGTTGCAAAAATATGGTGCTTGACACGTTACCTTATCAATGATGATTTAGTTGAATGTGTGGAAGTTATCATATTTTTCCAGATAGATGAAAACATTCCTACTTGTATATATGAAAATCACCTTTATTAAATAAGCCAAGACACCAGAAATGACAAGAAGAGTGAGGTATTGAAGAGGATATTCTCAAGTGGTTGCTGCAGATATAAGAGAGAAGTTTAAGGAAATATGAATAATTTCAACTAATGAAAAACCAGCAGGACTGAGCTTCCTGCCTGGGTCTGCCTTGTTCTGCTCCAGGTGCCTTCATCAGATGTGGAATTTGGAGCGTATTTTCAGATGGCCCCAAAGTGGTCAGTGTCTGCAGGCTCACCCCTTGTGTCCTGAGCAGAGCTCCCTCCTGGAGACCTTGATTCTGAGGCCCTGTGCCCCATAAAAGTAGCTGCAGGAAGAGTTGTCGCCTTAGGAGCAGCGGCTTTCTCCTCAGCGCCGGAGCTGGGGGCGTGGCGGGGAAGTCTTGCAATCTGAGTGCTGCTTCTTTAGAATATTAGAATCACCATCAGCTAATTACTGCTAAGAGAGATTCTGGACTGTGTTCTCAATGCTACCTGCACAGTAGAATCATCTAGGGGAACTTTTTAAAAAAATACCAATGCTGAGGCCTCAAGCTCTGAGATTCTGATTTAATTTGGTCTAGAGTGGAGCCCCAACTTTGGTGTTTTTTAAAAAGTTTCCCCCTGATGATTCTTCTGTGCAGGAGGATCGAGAAAGACTGACTGGGCTAATAGGGTGGCTCTTGGACTCCATGAATATGTGTTTCTGGCTTCAGACTCATTAAAATATGGAGCAGGAGACCTTGAAATCTTACTGCTGACCTAGGGCTTCTTACCTGTTCCGTAAGACCCTCACAAGGACACAAACACACACATGCATGTGCACGTGTGCACACACACACACTCACACACACTGTATAAACACACACTCTTTGTATTAGAAGATGATGCCTGTGATGTTTATGGTCACCTAATATGTTTAAAAATACATAGCCAGCCTACAGTGACTCATTATTTCTTCCTAGATGCTTGAATCATGATTGTAGTGAGTGGCCATGATTGTCATGGGTGGGTTGAACCCAGCCAGTAGGCTTTCCTTAGGCACCGGTGCCAAGTAAAGCAGTGCTCACGGGATGTCGCAGATCTGTGACTGACCATAAGCAGTAACCCTCTGGTACTGTGTCTGTGTTTATGTAAAAACTGCCTCTTGGTTGGTAGTTTCAACTCTTATTTGTAGAGCGAGGTACTGTTTATTGTGTGCTTTCTCTCCTCCTAAAGTTCCAGTACATTTCTTGAGAAGACCTGGCCCGTGTCTGACTACTGGATGTCAGCTTTTTCTCTTGGCCAAGGTGCTTCCCCCTGAGACTCATTGACTTCTAATCATCCCCTCATGGGCTTTGTCAATCCCTGACGCATTTCTCCTGCCCCCCTCGCCTAAAGCTCTTTCCTTCAGCCTCACCACCACCACAAATGCCAAAGCTGTTTGGGTTTCCTACCGCCACCTGTGTCCTGAGGTCAGGCTCCTGCAAAGGGGATGCTAAAGGAAATAGTTTGGGTTTCTGTGGGTACAAGCCCAACTCTGTGCTGGGAAACTGTCCCAAGTCCTCGGAGGGGTGACTTGCCTTCCAGTCATTATTGATATAGCTCATTAGTGCCTCTGATCAAATCATGCAGGAGGCTGGCTGCATGGTCTGTGAGGCCTCCAGCTGTCAGGGTCCCATTACAAGTTCATTCTTTCAGTAGCCTATAGTAGTTGAAGACATACTTCCAGTGTGTTCTGGGTATGCCTCGCCAGAACCAGGAAATCTAGAATAGCAAGCTCTAGTTTTTTCCAACCAAATGAATCATATGGGAATGTTTGAGGATCAAGTTCATGTTGAGATGGAGAGAGTATGGTCTAAAATGGTGGTTTCCAAATTGTGGATCAAGGAGCCAGAGGTCCCTCTTAGGTCCCTCCAAAGCTACTAGAGGAGAAGGAGAAACTCTCAGCCCTCACGCCCACTTCACTCAAAGTGGCTCACATTTCATCTGTTTTTCATGTTAGCCTTCCAAGTAAAATTTCATTTTGAGGGAAAAAAATTCCTAAGAAAAGTAATTTAAAAAGTGTTAGGAAGTGTATTATAAAGCCTGTTTTTAGTTCTTGACTCTGGGTATGAGAGACTTAATTAGATCTAGCCTGATGATAAATATACACTGACTTTGTGAGAATTAAGGCTAAAATCTTGGTTTTGTATGTTGTTGAGTGACCACCATCCTGATTTGCCTGGACCAACCCTGGTTTATACCTCTGCCCCAAGATAATTGCTAAGAGTATCACCTCAACTCTCAGAAGTATCCCAGTTTGGGAGATAAATTACATGGATACCTCATGTGTAAGTGCTGAGCTAAGGGAAGGGTTGGCCAACCTTGCCTACTGGGCTAATTAATGAGAATGCAAACCTGAAGGACAGCACGTGGGGATCACCCTGAGAGAATTGAGGGGTAAAACCGTCCAAGGTTATCAGCATTCTAAGGGCTAGGGCAGAATAACATTCACCTTCTTGTGACACTCTGAAAATAAGTCACTACTGAAAGCTTTCCAGACTTTTGACCGCTGTCACTCTGAACCAGCCAACCGACCAGCCAAGTGGCATATTTCTCTTTTATCCTTTTATTCAGGCCTATGATTACCTCCCTCTTTTTGCCTTCTAATTCCTCTCTCATTCTTTTTTTAAAAATTTGACTCCCCATTGGCCATGAGACTGAGGCTGACCTTTCATAACCCCACAAGGGTAACTGGTATATTTGTATACGAGTAGCTGCATGAGAAAGTCAATGTGCATACTGTATTTATTAAGCCCTAAAGGCATTTAATAAAATATTAACATCGCATTTTGACTCATGATCTTTGTCTGCTTTGCTGGAACAAAATGTAACAGAGCTAACATTTAAAATCCTTCGCATATTTGGACAACATTACACCAAATGTTGATTTTGTACAGAATTCTGGCTTGCTATTTAAATACGAAAACTCCAAGTATGTAGTAACCCAAGTTGTGAATATCGCTTTCTACTTCGGTGAAAAAGCAGTTTACCTGAAAATAGCATGTAACCTATATTTTGTTAATTTAAGCAAATAAAGACATGTTGAAAAGGCTGAGTTAATTATTTGCAAATACCTGAAATTTTGCAGGAAACTACCATTGTCAGTGTCTCGCTCCTGCCCTCATACCTTCTGCCAGAGTAGTTCCCTTTGGGGCTTCAACCCCAGGGAGATAGATGTTCGATTCTCCCTGCCTCAAGGTTTCAGAAAGGATTCATGAAGCTCAGACCATCTGCAGGGGGGGGGGGTGACACTTTCCTCATCCTCTTTTTCTTTCCCATTCAGAAAAACTAGTTCTGGAAGGGTGTCATGAGGAAGTGGGAAGTGAGCAGCAAGATTGCCTTACTCTGCGTCAAGTTCTTTGTAGGATAAAGTTGAACTATGAGGCCATGTACCATACTGGGCATGAGCATAGGTTCTGGTATCAGGTTCCTGGGTTCAAAGCCCAACTCTATTACTTGCAATCTTTGAGACCATGACCAGTTTGTGAATCTCTCTGTGCCTCCGTTTCCTCACCTGTGATAATGGGGTTCGGAACCTTCCTCACCAAGTTGTTTTTGTTTTTTTTTTAAGATTTTATTTATTTATTTGACAGAGAGAGAGATAGCGAGAGCAGAAACACAAGCAGGGGGAGTGGGAGAGGGAGAAGCAGGCTTCCCGCCGAGCAGGGAGCCCAGTGTGGGGCTCGATCCCAGGACCCTGGGACCATGACCTGAGCCGACGGCAGATGCTTAACGACTGAGCCACCCAGGCGCCCCCTCACCAAGTTGTTTGTAGGTTAATATATGCAAGACACTTGAAAAGTGCCTGGCTCATGGTGCATGCTATGTGAGAATTTGCCATTATTGTCACCAACAAAGTGGCCAGAAGACAGAACACTCAGCTCTCCCTTCTCAGCTCACAACGCTGTGTCGGCATGGAAAGTCACCATTTCTGAGAAGGCTTCCCTTTTAAACATCATACACCACTCTACACCATGCACGGTGCTAGGTGATCACACACTTGATTTTATTCAAACCTCACACAACCCTGAGAGGCAAATTTTATTTCCATTTTACTGATGAAGAAATGGAGGCTCGGCAGAGTGAAATAAGTTGCTCCAAACGACCTAGTTAGCAAGTTCCTCATTTGCCACCAAAGCATGTACCAGTTTGGGTTCTTTGGGAGTAGATGATGAGACAAATCTGGGTGCAAGATGTTTTCCAGGGATTAGAACCAGTGAAAAGAAAGGGGTGGAAAGAAGGCTGAGTAAAGAGAGAGGATGAACTGTGTGTGATGCGGGCCTGCTAAGCCTCACTCAACATAGCAGGTAGCTCATGGCAAGGATTGCCCATCAGAGTTGCGCCATGTTGAGCAGAGATGCCCAGGCCTTTGCACACACCGCCTGGCTCGGTCACTAGGTATGGGCTGCCCTAGAAAGGGCACGACCTCAGGACGGTGTGACTCTGTAGCAGGGACAGACCCTGAAGGAGCCAGTGGCCAGAGCTTGTCTACTGACTGACGGCTCGATACAAGTCCTTCCTTGAAGAGACACTGCTTGACTCATCCCTTGTCTACCACAGTCCACCCCTTGTCTACCACAGTCCACCCCTTGTCTACCACAGTTCACCCCTTGTCTACCACAGTCCACCCCTTGTATGACTCCAGTCCACTTGTTCGTGTACGTTCATGGAACATCTCCTCCAGGATGCCAGTGGGCCTCTCTTTCTGAAGGAAAACTTAGAAGAGGAAGATGAGTGGGAAAGACTTTAGCCCCCACTACTGTAATTGGTCTAGGAGACACAGCCAATACTCATCTTCTCCTTCCTCCACTACCTGTCTGGATCCCTGTCACCATCAGATACCACCTCTGCCAGTCTCAGAACCTGCCAACACCTTGATCTTGAAATTCCCAACCTCCAGAATTGTGAGAAATAAATGTTTATTGCTAAAGCTACCCAGTCTATGGTATTTTGTTATAGCAGCCCAAGTGGACTAAGACACATGCCCTTTTCAGAATGAAGTTTCTATACTTATTCATTTGTAGTCACAAGTAGGAAAGGAAGTACCAAAAGAAACCCAAATGGGTGATCTGGGTTCCACATGTATTCCTCCATGACCCATTTTGTAACCACAGCCTTCTCCCTCCTGATGATTAGGTTGATTACCTCTGCCAAAATGGTGACTCCATTCCTTATCTGCTGGTTCCTGGAGACAAGGAACAAAAAATGCCCAGACAGCAGCTGTAGCTTCTAATTCAATGGTACCCTTGCTGTATCCCCAGGTGAAAGTGTATCCCTTTTTGAGGATGAGAATCTCTAAGCCCGCAGAACCC